CATTTCAGATGTCTATTGCTAAGTTTCCATCTGCATGTAGTGTAAATTAAAACAGAATTCCTGAAAAGTCAGCAAAACATGAGTGCTCAATGTGGTTTTCCACCCACAGTTTACTGTTTCTTTATGTTATAGCCATAGACTGTAGAAAAACAAGGGGCGTAACCACAGTGACATCATCCATTGGTTTGGAGAATCATGCAGTGAAGCATCAGATTTGACTTTAAGCCTGACTTTTAAGACTTTAAACTTTAAGCCTTGAGAGCTTTCAGCCTACTTATAGAATATTTGTGTACTTGTAAATTGGTGGTTGCTTTGTGTGACAGATGTTCAAGAGAAACAGGGAGTCCACATTCACTTGTGGAAATTTTGTGATTTGTAAATGAGTTTTGTAAGCCGTTGCAAATCATCTGAGGTGATTTACATACAGTAATTTTCCACGTTATGAAATTGTAAGATCGAGGATAGATCACAGTTGATCAGTGGGGTTTCTGACGCTGGAAGCATGCTGAGGCCAATAACCTGCAAAGATGTTTACTGTGAGTCTTATTTTTGTATTATTTAAAGTTAATATAGATTAAATTACAAAAAAATAAGTTTTTCTTTTACATATTTTAGACTTGATTTAACAATGTTATGGTATTTACTAACTGCAGTTACCTTTGTGAAGAGATTAGTTTTACTAATCAAGTTCAAGTATTTTTTATTAGTTCATAAGAATGAATGCATATTAGTCAGCACTGACATTTAACAAGATCAGTGATAATGTGCCTTTGCAGCTGTTATTGTTTCAACACAGCAAAGCCACTGTTTCCTAGTTAGATGAGCACACAAAGTTGCTTTATCTACAAAAATTGTTGTTTGAACTTGAGACTGAGCTCGAAACTGAGAGTATGTCTTCATATAGACTAAAATAGAATCTGACGGCAATCCTCAAGGCAGACCTTTTGTCTGCTGTTACTCAAATCAGATATCATCCAACAAAGTGTTTTCAATGAGGTAGAAGCATATGTCCTTGTAAAGGGATATTATACTTTTTCTGTTGTGTAGTTTTATTCATAAATGTATTTATTCATTGAGGATACAGGGCGTTGAAAGTACTGTCAGATTTTGAAGCCCCCTGAGATAAATTTGGAATTTTAGGCTGTACAGATATAATTTACTTTATTTTACATTCTGAAATATTGTACTTTTATGCCTCAGCACCATTAACAGCTGTGGCTGGAGGCATTACGTTTTCAGGCTGTCCGTCCATCTGTCCCATTCTCAAGAATGTGATATCTCAAGAACACACTGAGGGCATTTTTTTTCAAATTTGGCACACTAAAGGTTAAAGGGCAACATTATGTGAAGTCATAATGTTCTGCTAAAACATTTTTTTGGCCATTATTTGGGTGCCCACCTTGAAACTGTAGTGATTGTATAGACCCTTTATGCTGCTGGGTTGAAGATGTGTTTGAAGCGTCCATGTTTTAGAATATGTAGGTTCTTTGCAGCAACATCCACGTTTGAAGCTTTGTCTACTGTCATAGCTACAGCTATTTTCAACTAATATTAAGAAAAGCATACTGGTATTTCCTATAATTTTGATATATAAGTATCTAATTTGTGGGCCTGAGTTTAGCTGACTGATATCATTAAAGTTGTCAGGGAAAATTGTCATTCAGCTGACATTCTTGTGTTTTTTCCCCCATTAACTTGGGAGTAAGACTCAACACTCAACTATCTTTCTCCAGAGTTAGATACTGCACCTTTTACCTGCCACAGCCAATATTATGTATTTATTGTATTCAAAGGACAACATATTTAACTACTGTGACACTGAAATCCGTTAAATGTAAACTGAGAGCTTTAACTTCTTCACATCTTCCAATTTGCTTTTAACCACAGGGACTTAAAATTCTCCCAGTTGATTTTCTTTTTGTGGCTTTTAGTCCTTATCACAGAATAACCTGTGTGACAGATAAAGAAATGGTGCATTGTAACTCAACCTTCACATTGCACAATTTCTTTATCTGTGCTGTGGGTCTGTCTGTCCTTGAGAAGTGCATCAAAAGCTAATTCCATTGGATTTCTTCTGTCCTTTTTTTCTTTACTTTCTTCAGTAGCTGAGGACACACGTAACAATTTGTCAGCAGCTTCAGTACATGGAGTGTTAGACAAAAATAACAGCCCTCTGCTTCTAACTGCAAGTTCATGAAGTCAGACCAGTGGTGACCCTAGCACATTTGGTGCTCTAGGCAAGCCTCTCCTCCTGTCGATTCCAATGTGTGTATGCATGGAGAACGTGAGTGAATTAAAGTTGTAGGGAAGCAGCTGTGTAGGGTCAATTTTAAATAATATTTGTGGCAAAAGTAATGATAAAACAAAACTAGTAGATGAATGAGTAAATAAATAAATAGGAATGAATGAGGGAGGAACAAACGTTCTATAATCTATTTTGTTTTAAAGGTGTTTTCTTCCAGTTATGGTTCCTCCATGGCTTCACAGGTAAGATCCGGTTAAATCATTTCATGTTCTAAATATATTACTGTTGAGCTTCTTTTTTCTTTTGTTTACTGTATTAAATTTTTCAATGCTTTGAATGCCATAGAGAGGCGAATCTCTTCCCCAACCAGTGGACCACCAAGGACCTTATCTTGGAAAAAATATGTACAGTAGTCAGTGGTGAGAAACAAATAATTTTTCAGTCCCATTTGAATTGTGCCATGAATTACACATATGATGTTTGTAACTTTCAAACATAATTTTGCAAGTCAAGAAGGTGGCAGTTTTTGTTAAACTGTTGAAGCATACCACTCTGAAAGTACGTGGCCAGAAAGACAACAAAAGTCATGTAAGCGACATCATAACTTTATCAATTGCTGTTTTGTACTGGAATGTAAGCACATTTTTTTGCTCCCTTGCTTGGGCTTTTCTTTGTCACAAAACTGTTCACCTGATGAAGGTCTAATTACTGAAACATTGCAATAAATTAATTGTTTTGCAAGATTAGACAGTCTGTGGGACTTTGTAAACTGTATTGTACTCGTCCCTTTCCTACGCATCTACTTTGAAATAGATGTGCAAAACATTCTTTTACTCTGCTTCCTTGCTTACAGACAGACCAGAAATTGCTTGATAAAACACATCTGGTAACATTACATTTGTGTGTGGAACACAGCTAAGTTACCTTGCGAGCTAGCTAGCTGGTGATTTGGAAGTCTGTGCAAGACGAGATGAGACGTTCCTTGAGCAGTCTCACACAAGACCAAATGACACTACTATGACAAACTTACAACAAACTACAACTTATTTGACTTGCAAAATTACCTTTTAAGTTGACTAACATCATATGTATAATTCATGGCACAATTTAAACGGGATCAACCGTGCATATTTTTTCTGGGGGGGGGGGGGGGGGGGGGGGGGGGGGGGGGGGGGGGGGGGGGGGGAGCTCCCATGATGAACACCAGAAGGAGAGAGACTTCGCCTCTCTTTATCGACCATAGGGGTAATGCTCAAAGAATGAAGTGACCCTGCTGATTATCGTTTGTATATTAACAGCCATTTTTGCTAAAAGAGTAAATGATGTTATTACTGAAATTGTACATACACCAAACTGGATTTATTTTGGGAAGATATTATAGAGATAACCTCAGCAGGGTATTTAATATAACAAGGAATATGGTGACCAAATCTAATACTTGGAGGGAATTCAAGTGCAAAGTAAAAATAAGATACCTCCAGACTTCACAAAAAACAGCAAAGTGGAGCCCATTCAGCTCAGACAAGTCCTGGAAAAATGTGGACCCAAAATTGGCAACCACACTCATATTTTCTGGTCATGTCGAAAGTTAAGAAATTTCTGGAGGGATGTGTTTGATGCCCTTAAAGAAGTGAGAAGATCCAAAAATAATCCTTTTCTGTGTAATTCCAGATGGCTTTGAGAGAATTTCCTCCCTTTCTTTTGAGGTCTCTGTGATATTCATTATATTTGGTTCTTTTGATTTGTTTTATTAATATACATTTTTATGTAGGGCTACTTAAACTGGATAAATTTCAAGACAGCAGGAATGTGGATAAAGAAAAATGTAAATGTCAAAATGTAAAATTGCTTTAAATTTGTTGGGCATTGCATGAGAAACTGACGTTGAAGTGAAATCTAAGTTCAAATAAAAATGGCACATGTTGGAGATCTAAGTTTTGTGTAAGACTATTCACATTTTTTTTTTTCTTTTTGTTGTTCTGGTCACCACCAAGCTACCAGTTTGCCAAATGTGGCGAGCAGTGGAATAGCATCTCAGTCATCAACATATTTTTTATCTAATGCTTCAAAAGCAATTGACGGGAATAAAAACCCAGACCACTACGCTGGATCCTGCAGCCATACAGTCAGTGGACCAAGCCACTGGTGGAATTTGCTCCTGCCAGCCATGTACAGGATCGCATCAGCCATTCCTCCTCTGTCGTCCTCTAACGTTACCTGTTGTGCCTCTCTCTCTCTCCTCCATTCTTCAGTTTCACGAAGCTCTTCGTCAGTGTATTCTGGCTCAAATAAATAAGGGCGGCCATCACCTCTCGATGTGGAAAGCCTATATACTAACATTCCACATTTAGGTGGTCTTCAGAGTTGTTGTCTTACCTGTCCAAAATCTCGCGAGAACATGCAGCAGCAGCTGCAAGGCAGAACCGGACAGTAGCCTGAAAGGTTCATTCATTTATTTTATGAAAGATTTATAGAATAATGGCTGACTTTTTGCCAGACTTCGACTTTGTGGAGAAGGAATTTGATTTTGCAGAGTTTGATGGTCGCCCTTATTTATTTGAGCCAGAACACACTGATGAAGAGCTTTGTGAAATTGAAGAACGGAGGAGGAGAGAGAGAGAGGCCAACAGGTAGAGGACGACAGAGGAGGAATGGCTGCTGCAAGGCTTTAGCTCTGGAGAACGGTGGTGTAATGTTACCTGTGAATGCTGTACCCCAGTGCCCACAGAAGAGGAATACCTCTGTTGCAAGGAATGGGACCGGTTGCAGCCTTAGCTAAATGGTAAACAACAAACATAGCAACACACCGGTAAGGTAAGACAACACGTTTACATGTCGTTTTCTATATGTTCTCTGACATTTATCCTAACGATATGAGGCGGTCTTTGTGGAGAAAAAGCTTGTTTAGTGGACAAACTTTGCACTTGAAAGGATGCCCATTCAATCAAGTTTTAACAGGTCTGACGCTACGGCTATATCTAGGCTAACGGCTAACATGCTAACTATTATTCCTATGTCACTAGTCACTTGAAACAAATTTAGGACGATAGGAGACGGGTTGAAATAAACCGAAATTTCCCTTTAACATTGCTGCAAAATGTTACGCACTAATCCTACCTGCTCACCAAAGTTACATAATACGAGAACTGGCATTCGTGGTGCAGAGTGGGAATGTCAGAGGTGCCATTCTTCCTATTACAAGTCAGTATACCATCAAAATGATTTGGCACTGTTATTTTAAGGTAAAAGACCTAAAACATTATGCACTCGCTCCACCATTCCTGCATTCCAAACACTAACAATTTATTCAGTGACTCAGCAGTGGGCAGGACTGCAGAGTTAATAGTGTGGTGTTGTTTTTCCACCTTTATTGATCCAGGGAAGATTTAGTGAGCAGCCTGTCCTGTTTAAGCAGCTCCTTGTCTCTAAAATCGCACACTGACATGCATTCACACTTGGACGCTACTAGGTGTAACAATCTGCCACTGTTTACCTCTGAGCGCATACGCTGTCGGCTATACATGAGTACACAGGAAGTAGTTGTTAGAGGAGTGGGGAGTTTTATGTTCAGCCTCCCTGCTTATGTTTTCACATCTGGTCAAGAGGTTTGAACACCTCCACAATGCTTTCTTTATGACACTTTCTGTAGTTGAAAATATTTTAAGGTTAATTAGATAATGAAAAAAAAAACCATAAGATATTTTTGTTTGGGACAGATGAACAAAAGTTATTATCATGCCCAAACCACATGTGATTCCTCTATTCTCAAAGATAATTCACTCTTATTAGTTTGATATCAAGACCATTTCTAACACCACTGCACCACCAGACAACCATCTGGTACGTTAACAATAGGCCGTTAAAGGAGCGATAATAATCAAACAAAAGTCACAGTCAATAAGATCAGATTGTGACAAAGTGCCGTATTAATAGGAAGGACCCACATCTACGAGAGAACATCTGCTATATTTCCCACTGTTGTGGCCTTTGCATTTCACATCCAAAGGCCTTTTTGTTGCAGCTGCTGACATTCTGTACACTATGCCTAGCTGTGTTGATATCATTCTTCACTTACAAGTTCAAATATATTAAGACATAATTTTCAGGTACCTGATGGATGGCAAGTGATTTTGGATGTCTGATGACTCCGTGAACTATGCGTACTGGTAGACACAGTCCATCTGGCAACTCACCAGTCCCTGTGGTGGCATCGACACCAGTGGCCACTTTCGCTGGAGGGATCTTCCATGTGGAGATCCCCTTTACTTCATCTGTTTGGCAGGTGAGGGATTTTCAGTTTCAGCAAGATACTACAGGCCCTATAATTCTGCCAGCTGCAAACACTCCTTGAGCAGCAACAGCTACTACTACTGTCAGAAATTTAACAGAAGAGCAGCGGAAGTATCTCGTTACAGTGCTGCCAAACAAAATCAAATTGTTGTATCATAGACAATTCAAGTCAACAGCTGACCTTTTTCCATGATGCCATGAGGAACCGTCATCTGATTGAATGTTGCGCATGTCAGTTGAAATTGGAAGTGTGAAGCCTGTCGTACTTCATCCAACAACTCACTATGGCTGAATGTATAGACAAATAAGTGGTATCAGAATCAGTGAAAACATTAGGTAATGGGCTGAAAACATTTTCTATTGTTGCACTAGTTATATCTCAAAATATTTTTACTTGCCTGTACTTTATCCTCATATATAAATTAAAAAGGTTAAAGGTGTACTCCCATGATTTAGCATTGCACTCCTGTAACACTGTCAGACTCATAATCAAGTTCTTTATATTAAGGATCAAAATTGATACAGCAAAACCAGAGATATTGTCTTTTTCATTCCAAGCATTGTTTTTCCTCGCCAAAACCTGTGGCGCCTTCATTACCCACAATGCAACTCTGCTGCCCAGAGATTGATGAGAGAATTTGGTGTGTTATGCTAGTAGCGGTTGATAAAGCTGGAAGCAGAGATAAGCTACAGAGGTTTTGTCAATTGAATCCTCTCTACCTCTGTGTCTTTTTTTTTTCCTCTAAACAGCTGACACTGACTCAAGTGACATCACATACAAGGTCTCCCAACACGTGGAAAAACACTTAAAAACAGTTGGAAAACTTTCAGAGTGTCTAATCTTTACACGGCTCTGAGTGGCTGATGGTCACTCTTATGTATGGAATGGAAGAGAGGACAGATGTAAAAGTATTCCATTTTCTCTCTGACACAATTTAATAATCTGTGAAAACTTTTATTTACAGTTTATGAACCTGACCTTCCACCTCTTCTACCATTGTGTCTTCACAGGCACTCAAGCATACGAAAAAAGTGTGGGCTTCTGGAGTAGTACCAGACAATAAATACATCGAATACCATGAAGAGAAACTCAGGTCTCACTCAGCTCACTTGTCTTCACTGCCCAATCTGTATAGCACCCCTGGCAAATGTACCGTGGAATTGTTGGCAATTTTGGGGGCTTTAATAATACACAACATCAGTATACCATTTCATAACTACTTTAATTTGAGGCATATCACAGTGCAACCACGAGAGTGCTTATTTTACTCATAACTTTCTCTGAAAGTCAAAAAAACTTGCTATTCCGTATTCAAAATGTTAACATTTATCTCATCATGAAGACAAAACAGATTTATCACATACTAAGTACAAGCTGTGCCTTTACTGTCCAATTGTTCAAAGAATTCACTATCTTACAACAGAGCTTTGCTAAATAGTAAGATTGACTGATAAAATGTCACGTTTTATTGATCTGATAGTTAAGTCAGGCTTCTCTTTGTTCCGTCTCTTCCTCAGAACTCTTACGATAAGACATGCCAAATGGTGTTTGAGTCCTTTTGGTTTATACTTTGGGGTTATAAATAAGTAGAGATAGATACAGAATATTTAAATACATTATTTTTTATTTAGCCCTGGATAAAGCCAAATTATACCAATATTTACACCAAAGTAATTTCTCAAGGAGTGAAACACACATCTATACACTGTACAAAGCATGACATCTTTTTTTTTTACCTTTTTACCAGAGATATGAGAGCTGAAGTGTAAGCAATTAATTAAACTGTGTGTTTTTCTGCTGTAAGCTGTAAAAGTAAGCATGGCCTGACTAACTAATTTATAAACCTACAGTGGTCAGCCTTACTTCGTCTAAGACCTCTCTGGCATAAGCATGATGGCGGCGCGCATAGATGCAGCAGTTTGGTGCAACCCAATCACCAGAATAAATGTTGGCATTGTGCATTTCCGCAGACCACCCATATGTTACATTTTCACATTATAAAACTTTACGTTTCTTTACATTAAACAGGTATGTAGTTAATGCATGGTGACGTTTAAGCACAAGCCCCACTTGGCTATGGTTAGGAAAAGATCGTGTTTTGGCTTCAAATACTCAATTTTGGAGCACAGTTGACACCTCACTAAGTCCTGCCCCCCGGATGCAGACTGGCCAATCATAAAGTAGCATTAGGTCGGTTCAGACCAGGGTCTGACAACAACACAGCTGTGCTCCATTGACTTTAATGCAATCACTTAAAGACTTCCTTCATTTTCAGGCTGGTTTTGTGGATTTGGAGCTAAATGCTGTGCCTGGGGCACGTCGTGTATTAATGATACTCATTACCTAGAGAGGTTGGAAAAAGATATACGTTTCTTCCCTGTTCCAAAACCAAAATCAAACCCTGAAAAGTGTAGGGTTAGCTAGCTAGCTACTGAAGATATAGCCCACTGAATGTAAATGGAATGGAAACTATTCGACCAGCTGTGTGTCACCGCATTGTGTGCAGGTGAATGTTGTTTGACTTCCCCCGGAGATTCCTGCCCATCCAGTGGCGAAGGTCTGGGTGCTGGCAGCGGCACGGGGGCGATGCCACACAGCTGGTTCAATATCGGCAAAGTTTCCCTTTATCTTAATTGTCTTCTGTGGCGATCAGCAGTGATGTGGTGGTTCACTTTTACACTGTGATCTGTAGCCTATAGTTCGGCTTTAGCTTCTAACTATCTTTGTCTTTTTAACCTGTTGTTGCTGCTGAGTCAGTTTGACATCCTGGATATATCCTTCAAACACAGACTGCTTCTCTCTGGAATCACTGTTTCATTTTTCCAAAAATACAATAATATTTCATCAGAGTGCAGTTAGTTACAGTGTGGGCTCCATGCTTACTCCGACAGCTGTCGGACCATCACAAAGGGGCGGAGCTTACAAAAGTTCAATTCTGGCTGGAGATGTAGTGATGTCTTGGTAAAAAAAACAACTGCATTTCATGGCAATATCCCTGTTGGAAATGGGTCAATGGGTTACTAAAAGCACCTGTGGGGGCTAAAAAGCTGCAGGAAGTGTAGCAATGACTTCCTAAAAGCAACCCCATGACAAAGTCAGCTCATATACTACATCTCTTTAGAAACAATGATACATATGAAACTTATGATATTAATGTATTTGTGGTTTGCAGGGACATACAATGCCAACATTTTCTTCTGGATACTGGGCTGCTCGTGCCCTCTGAAAAGTGTTTGCATCTTGTGTTGCTGCAATGTAGATTGCACATTGCTAAATGTTTGCCTACTACACACTGCACAGCACTTTGAGTACTGCTACTATGATTTTCTTTTATGTTTATATTGTTTTTAATACGGAGTGAAAGTATAGATTAATCCAAAGTATAAAGTATGTATTCAAATAAACACAAGAAGTTTGTGCTCTAAAAAAAAAAAAAAAAGAAAAAAAAAAAAAGAATAACCGCCTAAGCCCTACGATAAGCTATTATGGCAAGGCTTAACTATACAGACCAGTGAGCAGTGATAACTAACATGTCTTTGGGGTCATCGGGTGGGAACCTCCTTTCACCGGTGTTTCGTCTAGTTGGTCCCACGACACCTCCAGGAGGCTAGACAGTGATCTCTGGCGTCCCAGAGACACTCCCCTAATGCCAGGTCTCACTGCTCCCCACACTAACCGAACAACCTCCTTTACCTTACCTATACTACCACAGAGGAGGTAGACCCAGGGAAGGAAGCCTTGTTAGGCTATCACACTCCCCCGCCGGGTTAGGCTGTACAGTCTACCTCCCCAAGACGAGCCCTCACAACAATGACACCTCCAGGAGGCTAGACAGTGATCTCAGCCCAAACAGCACTGCCAACTTCAACCAAGCCCAGGCTCCGTTTATGCGAGCTCCAGGCAGAAGCAATGCTGATACTACCTTTACTAGCACATTCACCATACTCTATTTCACACACTACATAGCATAACTACAATATAAGCTAAAGTTAAAGGAGCTAACTGGACTTACAGGATCAGCAAGCACACTCACCTTGCTGCATGGCCTCAAACAAAATGGATTCCAATAGGCCACTCCCACACTTAAATAACCTTCCTCTTCCTGGATTTCCTCCTTACTTACACATGGCTTTCTCAGCCCAAACAGCACTGCCATCTTCAACCAAACCCAGGCTCCGTTCATGCGAGCTCCAGGCAGAAGCAATGCTGATACTAGCTTTCCTGTCACATTCACCATACTCTATTTCACACACTACATAGCATAACTACAATATAAGCTAAAGTTAAAGGAGCTAACTGGACTTACAGGATCAGCAAGCACACTCACCTTGCTGCATGGCCTCAAACAAAATGGATTCCAATAGGCCACTCCCACACTTAAATACTTCCTCTTCCTGGATTTCTCCTGACAGGAAGTGGATCTCTCCACCTGATCTCAAGGAGTTATGTGCCCTGCTTAGTAGTTCCCCCTCCTGGCCCCCAGCTGACATTATTTCTTCTGTAATAGATAAACTGGCTGCATTTAATTGCTTCATCTGACATTTAGTGTAAGTGCTCTAACTTTTTGTTTCTGGTTTGAGGTAATTGTCTTCCCTACTGTGCGATCCCCACCCCCCTAAAAAAAAAATTCAGTGTAAGCATTTTCTGTAGCTTGATGACTTGACGCATTTAGGTTGAAAATTCGAATGAAAGCTCCACTGAACATCTTTGACTGTCCCTGGAGTTTTTCATCAAGCTACAATCAGCAGAAGACCATACTGTATGTTCGTCCCTTGAGCCTGTATAAACTGGATGTGTCTGCTCATAAAGAACATAAATACAATTTGTCGAGTACCTTCATTATTCTTCCACTGAACGTCATTAACGGACTGGAAATAAGAAATGTCCTTGATTAAGCTGCATTCAAGGAAGAGGATTACCTCAATTACACTTTTCTTAAGAGTATTGAATTTAACTTTATTCTGCTGTTTTGTTTTACCACAAAAAAGGTGGGCTCTGTAATACAATAATAAATATCACTAGCCACTGCCCCTCACTGGCCTTACTCCCTCATTATTCAGTAATATACCACCTCTGCTCACCATTTCACTACTCTTTATTTGATAAAAACAAATGTTCAGGAGTAGGAAGATGATGTTTTTGACTGTGTTTCGAAGATAGAACAGTGCCGGGGGGTATTTTCTTATTAAGCCGTGAATAACTGATGTGGATCAACAGTAAGTCCATTCATTAAGACCTCTATCTATCCATTATCTATCTTTATTCCTCCAGGGTTCCATCCCTCCATCTCTTTCACCTCTATCTGTTGCCCTTCCCCTCTCTTCTCCTCTGCTCTCCGCTTTGCTCCCCTGCCTCCTTCTGTCTCTCCCTCATCATCACTCATTATTGTCCTGATGGGGAGTAAACAAGGCCATCTTTTCCTCCCATCAGTCTCTCCATCCCTCCTTTCTCTCTGCTCGAATAAACATATGGATGGCTCTGCCTCCCTAAACCTGCTAACCTCTGCATTCTTGGCCTTCTCCCCTCCTGTCTCTCCCTCTCTCTGTCTCTTCTGTCTCATCTCTGGCTTTGTCATTAGTATGCAGAAGAAACAATAATATTCCTTCATGTGCCTCCCACTTTCTCCGGCTCCATCAATGTGTCTGCTCTCCTTTTCTCTTCTGCTTCTTTAATATTTAATCTAACAGTGAATCCCAAATCCAATCCTAACTCTTTGTAATTTTTTACCATTGATCACTTATCCTAAATCAGTGGGGATTTTTTTAACGACGGAGTCATGCTCCGTATTTTCCGGCATTTCAACATGACAAACTTAAATGAGGCAAGTGGAATTTAAAGGAAGAATATGTACATTTTGAGTCAAGAAATAACACATTCTTCATCTTACAAAGAAGGCGTCATCCTTAAATGTCTTGTTTTGTCCAGAACTCAAAGATAGCCCATTTAATTTAAAAGGAAGATTAAAAGCAGGGATAATGGAGATGACATGCAGCGCAACATTATTGACACGTTACTCTGACTTTATGTGGGCTATCTGACATTTATCACACAATAAAGACATTAACGTTATTTGAATACGCCCATGAACCATGTTTAGTGGGGGTACAACAACACCACATGGACAAACCACGCACATAACTGCAGTATCTCCATGGGGTGGCAGTAACTCAGCCCATAGGGACTCGGGTTGGGAACCGGTGTGTCACTAGCTCAAGTCCCCTTCCATATCAAGTATGAAGCTTCAACTAGTAGTTGAATTTAACGCATGCATAGATCCTGTTTTTGGAGCCCGGTCTCACTCCAAAGTTGTCTAAATCCAGTGCTTCGGCAGTGATTGCGGTGCCAGAAACCAACAAAAAAAGGTGTCCTTTAACATTGGTTAAAGTACAACGGTGCCTGGCGGCATCATGGGGAAACACGGTGGGACAAGGACGAAAGTTAAGGCGGTGAAAAGTCCAACTGAGGCAAGCAGGAGGGGTGGTGGATGGGTCCAACAAACACCGACTTTCACCCAAGAGAGCAGTGTTTGTGTCTCTTAAGATTCCAAAGCCAAACCCTGTTCTTTTTTCCCAAACCTAACCACCTGCTTTTGTTACCTAAACCCAACCCAAGTTTGTTGTTGAAGGAAAAAAACATCAGTTGGCAACGTCATGCGCTTATTTTGAAAGAGACTGTATGTAAATTGTAAATTTCCTGTACAAACAGAAGTGTATTTTGAAAGAGCACAATGCATGTAACAGGCAGAACTTGACATGGTGTTTCAGAACATCAACAACCAACACACCCAGGGTGCTTTGCATGTCATATGTGGACGTGGAAAATTCATGACCAAACGTCAATATGTGAGATCTTTAAGTAATAGGCCGACTGTAAAATGTGACTGTTGTATGCAAATACAACCAGGCCTGCAATAACAAAAACTAAATCAGTTGGAGGAAGAGACACATAAATAAAAAGATGTTATAGAAATATGGCTGAGTCAACCGCCATGAACAGGCATGTTTTTGATACTCACAAAACACAGAGTTGGTTGGTGGCTGGTCACACTGTCTTTGAGTTTGGGCTCAGGACCTCTGTACCGTTCACATCCTGGCTACGGCCCTGAAGCGGTGGTCCTGACTTTTCTTCTCTCTTTCTCTCTAGGACCCTGTAGCACCTGCTGATCTCTCGGAGCCTTGACGTCAGCGCTGTAAACGGTGGAGATCTCCGGTGCGCGGCGGCAACAGTGCCCACAGGCGCAGCGTCCGTCCAGCGCGCAACGCAGGCGGCTGCGGCGGCACCAGCAGCAGCAGCAGCAACAACAACACTCAGCTCAGACTTCCCCGCCCGACTTTCACATCTATCCGATCATCACATACATCCACGCACACACATCAGCATCCTCCCCGGGTTTTGAACCGGTTCACCTTCTTCGCCTCTCCAGCCGCGCCATGTCGTCTGCTGTCACCGAGACGGAGGAGTCGGCGCGCAGCTCCCCGCTGACGCCGCTGAAGCTGGTCGGGCTGGTGTGCGTGTTCCTGGCGCTCTGCTTGGATGTGGGAGCCGTGATGAGCCCGGCGTGGGTGACTGCCGACGACCAGTACTACCTGTCCCTGTGGGAGTCCTGCTGGAAGCCGGCGAGCACCGAGAACTGGCAGTGCACCAGCACGCTGGGTACAGGTAATAAGAGGGGAGGAAGTCACATTGTATGGGCTTATGAAATCACAACAACCGCTTCATCTATCTGTCCCGGGCGCACCGGACAGGATAGAGGGTAGTTACCATGTGTCTTCTATTATGCATTAACAGTAGAGAACAAAGAGTTGCTCTGAATGACTTGATGATGATGGAGGGATGCTTCCTCACCACTGGAAGGGCATTCCTAGAGGAAAATAATCCACTGACTCCCCAAGCCTAGGCAGGTATTGTCCTGGCCAGCATTGTGTCTCCCCACTGTCTCTATCCAACCATAACAAAGCCTCATACTGACAGTCGCTGTCAACCTGTGACTCCACTGGGATATCCACATTAATTATTGTGGAGGTGAAATGAAGCAATTTTGCAAGGCTGGAGTGCACTCTCATCTTTTTAAATTTATTTTTGCTTTAAAAAGTGAAGGAAAAATTGATCATACACATAACAAAATGTTTGCAGTTTGTTATACCTGCACTAGAGGCTTGTATTGCCAAACATCTCTTCCCATTCCGTCTCACCCCTTCTTTTTTCCTACTCAAAAAAGCTGCAGACATGACATTTTAAAAAAAAAAAGAGAGAGAGAGACACACACACACACAGACGTGTGATAAATACTAACCCTGATGTTAAAGGGCGCACATGTGTCTGAATGCCACAGGTCTGTCAGGTAGCCTCACTGAGGGGAAACAGAGGTAGATGAGCAGCAAGGAAGATGTGAACCTCCACCAGTGGGCTGCGAACAGTTTGTTTATGAATGCATTACAGCTAAGACATTAAGTTTATCATTTAGACAGAAATATTTAAGTTGTTTCTTCAATCAAAACTCCAGTATTTTTAGCTTTGAGAACATTTTTTTCTGGTTTTCCAACTATTCTGTATTAGTAAAATGATTATGTTTGAGTTTTGGACCATTAGTTATACAAGGCACATCCTTTTAATATGTAAGTTAGGCTGGGAAATAATTGGCAGATTATACTGAATATGAAAATAATGAAAACGTTGCAGGCCCAAAATGATTATTTTAACATGTAATGGTGAAAAAGCATCTCCTTGTTATAATGTCTGATAGAGCATTACAATAATTTTCTCCCATTTATGAGACTAAACAACGTGTATGCACCTGAACATGCTGCTGGGCCATTCTGGGGAGATAAAAATAAAATAAATGCTGCTCAGGAGCTATAATGTGCATATTCAGCCTGTTTTTGCTCCTTCACAATGCTCACCGTCTAGGTTATTAACACAGCAAAACTGCCACCACCTCCATGGTGAAGTACATCAACTCTCCTGGGTGTTGACACCAACCTGCACCCAATTAATTCATTTGTCAAAACAGGAGATGGAAGGGAGGAGAATAAAGGCTCCATATAGAGCTCACCCTGTCTGTTTTTTTTAATTTATTATAATTATTATTATTATTACCCTCCCCCTTCTTTTGTTGTCTAGAAAACGGCCTTGCTGTCACACCCCGGAGAGGTCTTGCCGTTTTGGGCAGGAGAGGAGGTGTTGATCTTGGATGTTGGATTGGTTTCCAGGGAAACAAGAGCTCATGAGCGTTACATTAATTGAGGTGAAAGTGGCTTTCTTTACTACCACTGTGACGCTGGGAGTTGACTGGTGCTAATTACACTTGGGGGCTTTAAAGGGGAATCAGTTAAAAGGTCTTTAAACTGTCAGCAACTGTGACAGACATCATCTATCTATCTATCTATCTATCTATCTATCTATCTATCTTACACACACTCTGTCTACCTGCAGAGCTGCACTCTCTGTGGGTGGGAAGGCATCATGATTGTGTGTGTGTGTGTGTGTGTGTTTGTAGCAACTGTGCAGTGTGTCTTTATATGCAAGTGAATGACTCTGTGAGTGTGTGTGGGAGACAGAAGGGGAGTCTGGGTCTCTGTATGTCTGTGTGTGTGTGTGTGTGTGTGTGTGTGTGTGTGTGTGTGTGTGTGTGTGTGCCAATAAGAGGCTACCGCGTTGAGCTGACCTATTTCTGGACAGTCTCCTCTGAAGCCCAGCTGAATATTTCATGTCACACTCTGATTTCTCTGTTGTTGCATCTCCGCACCTCCTCTCTTAGGACCTCTTCACACACACACACTCACTGACACACTTTGTGACTTTCGGCAGTCCCTCTCTTTCTTTCTTTCTTTCCCTCGCGCACACATTCAGTACATACACATCTAGACGCCAGAACAGGACTCCCTAATTAGATGTCTTGGCGCGACAGGTGTGTGTGAGCCTTAACACACACACACACACACACATTGATCTTAAGAATGTATCTCTGCTTGTGCCCGCTCTCTTTGCACATCCCAGCACCTGAATGAGACCAAAGCAGCGGGTTCTGCTAATTTAGCTTGCCCTTTTCATTCATTGTGATGATTCACTCTTTGTGAAAATGTGAAACTGAATTGATCGCTGCAGGAAATTTGTCTTTTCACCTTCTCCTCTTTAGAAAGCAGGGCTGCTATAGCAGAGCCCTTGCTGAAGTTGGCAGTTATTTATGAGCTTGTTAATGGATAGTTCAGCATATGGATTTTTGAACCTTGTGGGCCACCCATAGACTGTATGAAATTAATGGATGTAGCCATTGTGACGTCACCCATTGGTTTGTGGACTCTAGTTTGGCACTTTGGCCTTTGTCATCTTAGATTTTTGTAGCAAGAAGTGGCCATATTTGGACAAGAGGGTGGAGCTATGGAGGAGCAAGGGGTAGACTGTGGAGATACCCTGCCGATAGCCTGTCTGTCGTAAGTCTTAATAACATTTAAATGGGTGAGTTATATAAAATTTCACCTCCCTACAGTTGTCATGGAGGGGGGAATCAGCAATAGAGATCAACGCTATTTTTGTACCAGGCTGTAAACATGTCTACTTCTGCTGTAAAGTGTAACATGGAGTCGATAAGGGTTTGCTCACTTTTGGAGCCAGCCTCAAGTGGCCGTTGGAGGAACTTCAGTTTTTGACACTTCACGTTGGCTTCATTTTTAGCCCCAGAGATTGCTGCCTGGGGCCACCATACTGTTAAAAAGACAAAGAAAGAAAGATATGGAGAGACCACTGATATAGAACTGCATATATTAGGAACAGTGCAATACAACCATCCTCTGTTGGATTAGAAAATGTCTCACAGGAGAGAAAAGGTTTGTGCAAAGTTATAGCACAGGAGTCAATAGTAAAAATGCATCTCTTGAATAAACTGTGTGAACATGTTGTCCCAATAGCAACCAAGCTAAAATAACAATACCTTTTATTGTAATATAACATTGTTATATTTTCAATAGTCCTCTGTCATTTTATTTCAGTCTCAAAACAGGAAAACCTGCTTGGCTGCTATCACCTTCTGCCTGTAGGTATACATGACAAAAAAGACACACATTAGCTTTCTAAATACACTCTGAAATTTTAGAGACAAGGTGCACTGTGGTGCCTGCCAGGGCCCTAAAGACCTAAGACAAGGGAACATTTATAAGCTTAACACAAATGCCTCACCCCTAACAACAAGCAAAATGCAGTAATGTATGCAAAGACAGATCATGCAACACCTCAATCAGAGGAGGAAATCTTCAGTTCACAACGTGCACTGCATGGCTTCTAATTAATTGGACTGAGGTGGAAAAATAAAGGCATAAAGGAACGTTTTCACTTTGTAGAAGAACAGAACGATTGCTGTAGTGGTTGGAATATGAGTTTCAAGGTAACTGCAGGGTATCTTAAGCCCCTTTCACACATGTACCTTTATACATAATGGCAGAAGTCACAACAGTAGTCTTACTAGGTCTTAGTAACATGAGGCATGTTCTGCCTTATTAGAGATTTAAATGTAGAGAAGAAATGTGAGATGACTGAACTTGCAGTAGTGGTCATGCGAGGTTTAAAATATATCTAATTACCCCTAACAACAAATTTGGCTGACATCAGGCACCACCTGTGGCTGGTTTTCATAATCTTCTTTCTTATTAAGTGCCAAGTCTGATGTCTTGGAGCTTTCCCAAAAATCTTAGTTTTGCAGTCATGATTACAGTTTTGATGTTCGCATTTGTGCTGTTTTACACGATGTATAACTGTAATATGGCATTAACGTCTCATAAACCCTGGGCCACCAAGGCGCCTTCATTTTAGGTTGAGATTCTTCTCATGCCAGATCAGTCTATAATTAAATACAAATAATGAATAAATAAATTCAGACTAGCACTCCCTCTGTATTTTTTATCCATGTCAGCTGCATGTATGGAATTTTGAATATCTAGCAAATTAAAAAAAGAATAGGATCTAAATGAGCTCTAACTTAAAACTGCTGTAAACAATATTTTGTATTAACAGTGATTCAGATGACTCTGTGTAATGAGAAGGATGTCGCTTGTAGTGACGAATCCATAGAGAATTATCCACCTACTCTGAAGCTCCCCGCAGCTCGACGCCGTTTCTGTCAGACATTAGAATGGGAACAGAATTGCCTAAAAAATGATGAAACTATGAGAAGAGGCGGCTGGCGTCCCTCACACTCATGTTAGTCATTAATCAAGGCTACAGCAACAAAACAGGTTTTAAAATCCATCACTGATGCAATGTGTGGGAGATCAGAAGCCACTTTTATTCCTCCGTGTCATTACTTCCCAACTCGGCGCTGTTCTCTAGCAGTGCCACCAGGTGCCAAACATCATGCATACCTCATGGCTCTTCTTGTTAATCCCTTGTCTTGTCTGAAAAAAAGCCACAAAACATTCAGTATATACTAGAATAGTCAACCACCAACCAGCGTCAGCTCCACTTTGAAATCCTTGAATTCCCTCATGTTTGGCAAATGGGACATGAGTCTAGATAAAAAAAAAATCTTATAGTGGGCATGTGCAATGTGATCTCATCCCTACTTGTCCTATTTTACCACTTTGGCAGAAGCCCTGGCGTTATTATAATGACAGCAGCTTTTTGCATTGTATCTTGATGCAGATGGGGCCGGCGCTAAGAAGGTTTGGATT